TAATCTTGACAATAATGATACAAAATCGTTCTGGAAATTACTGAAGAGCAGTAACTCTGACTTCACAATACCGCATGTTGATAAACTGTTTCATTATTATAAAGAGTTGAATGACTAAACCAGCTCTGAAGAAGATAAACCTATGAATGAAAATATTTTCAAATATCAATGACAATAATGGCGTTCTCGATCAGCCTATCAGCAGTGAAAAAGTTACAAATGCTATAAAACACCTTAAAGGAAAAAAACAAGTAGTGCTGACAATGGCATAAACGAGTATATTAAAAGCACAGATGGCAAAATGATTAATGTACTTGTATATGTAAAACTTGTCCACATCATTTTGGAGTCCGGATATTTCCCGGAAACTTGGCTTAAAGGACCAATTTATAAAAAAAACAAAGGCCAAAACTGTAGACCAATTACTTTGCTGTGCTGTATGATATAATTTAATTGCGTTTAAGTTATAACTTTTAAAGTCACGATAGGGCTGAAAAATTGCCAATGTGACTAAAGGTTTTAACTCACTCACTGTGCTGTATGAGCAAACTGTTAACGTCAGTAATTAACAATAGAGTTTTTAGAATCATCAAATGTTCCATCTGAAATACAAACTGGTGTTACAAAGGGTTACTCGACAAATCATCTCATTTTCTCACTTTATTGCATTATCAATTTATTAAGAAATCAGAAAAATAAATTATTCTGTGCATTCATAGACTTAGAGATAGCTTTCGATACTGTATGAAGGCTTGGCTTGTGGATTAAGCTTATTCGTCATAACATCACTGGCAGATGTTTCAGAATTAAACAGTTAATGCATGAAGGTATTACAGGGGTGGAAATAACTTTAAAATTGCTAGTGTACTCCGGTACAGTGGCACATGTAAATCACTTGCCCTGATCATTTTTCCACTATACCGGCCGTTTTCTTGTTGATTTATTAAATAAACAACATTATTAACATTGGAAAGTCAACTGGACACCGGTACATCGTGATATACAAATTTGCTTGCCCGACAGAAAAAACACTGGACTCGGACGTCTTGCAATGGGTTATTTCCATCCCTGTATTAAATATTGTGTTTGAACCAAAGGTCATTCATCTAAATATTTTGATTGTCTTAAAGGTGTTAGACACGGTGAGAATCTACCGCCTCTACTTTTTGCGTTATTCCTTAATGATATTGAACAATATTTTAAGGTTTTCCCTATGTAAAGGTATTGTTTTGAATGATGATGTCTTATGTCTATATTTGAGATTATTTGCACTGCTTTATGCAGACGATACTGTTATCTTAGCAACATCTAAATGAGACCTACATAAACAACTTGATACATTCAGCAAATACATGTACTAGTATTGTGAAACATGGAAGTTAAGATTAATATTGATAAAATATTGTAATGTTTTGGTATTTAATGGCACAAAGAGAGAATGTTGTTATTGATTTGCAATATCAAATATATACTTACAAAATGTTGATGAATACAAATATCTGGGCATAATTTTCAGTAGAAAATGTACTTTCACGTCTGCTGGGAAAGCACTTTGTGACAAGTGTGTTAAAGCCATGAACTAAGTTTTATCTAAAGCCAAACTTTTCAATGTATATGTGTGAAATGTGGAAAGGAAATTATTTCGGGTAAAGAGAAGTACACCATTATATCCTATTCATGCAGAGACATGGCGAAGACCACAGAATGTTAGTATCCCAGTGACCTCAGGAGCTCCATGCTGTGTTGTTGGCAGTATGTGCAGTTTAGTAGGACATACTCGGGCGTTTCTGTTTGGTTACAGTGTGTGCATTTGCCTGTTTGGTGTTTACATTTTTATTCTATGCCCATGCAAATTGGATTTTGTGTGACCTGTTTGTAATTTGGTTACCTCGATGATTTGGTTAACTTCAGTAAGTTTTATGTACCGCTTTGGCTGCTTGGTCGGCATGTTTGTTGCCGAACACACCGACATGTGCAGGGATCCATATATAAACTATACGATTTTGCTTAATTGATGTGGATCTTGAGTACCTTTTAGGATTTCGTTTATTAGTTTAGGTTGTTTTGTTTTTGGTGTTTAAGTGCGAAACCTGTGCGTTTGTACATGGCTCAAAGGATCCGCCTGTGTAAATGTGGCACCAGTTTGGCTAGCATTCATGCATGTAAGCTTGTGTTGTGTTTGTGGTGTTGTTTGGGTTTGTTTGCATATTTATTTCGAAGGGGATTTTTGTGTTTATTTAGGAATTGTTAGTTTAGTTTTGAAGATAAAAGGGAGGGCTGGAGTTTTGTTTTGTTTTTAAGGTTGGTTCAATTATGCGGTTTATTACACATTGCGATATTGTGGTTAGAAGTGAGGGTTTGTCAGGAAACGCTTGGAGATTGGGGTTTATGCTGGTATTAATGACATGTATGATTAGGGGTTTGTTTGGGTTGATGCCTGGACATTTATGATTAACTGTTCTCGTCCTGGTTCTAACAGGATTTCGCCTGTTAGTGCTTGTAATGAGATAAGATGTGCGTGTGATTATTTTAAGCGTTTTGTTTTGTATTGAGTTAAGGTTATTATTTAGTGAGCCGTTTGGAGCGCTGTATTTTACGCAAAAGTAATCTAATATCGAACATTTTGGACTTTGTTTTCTGCCTGCTGGAGTAGCTTATTAGCTACCTTGATGACTGACAGTCAATATATAGACATTGCTTGGGACTTCTTGATGTGATGGCACCCGTAAAGGTCCGGGTTAGAATGTGCCTTCAGTAACCCATGCTTGTCGTAAGAGGCGACTAACGGGATCGGGTGGTCAGGTTCGCTGACTTTGACACATGTCATCGGTTCCCAATTGCGCAGACCGATGCTCATGCTGTTGATTACTGGATTGTCTGGTCCAGACTCGATTATTTACAGACCGCCGACATATAGCTGGAATATTGCTGAGTGCGGTTTAAAACTAAACTCACTCACTCACTCATTCACTCACTTGATGTGATGGCAAACAAGACAGACCAAGGGAAAGACTGAATAAGGTTATAAATGTCATACACAGTACTTAAGGAAAGTGAAACAGTGGCACTGGTTGACTGACAAGTCAATGTAAAATGCAGTGGCAGTGGTGATTAAAATGGAGATTAGCGTCAGATAAATAACTGCGATTACCTCATACAGGTCTTATCTTGGGCCTTTGAAATAATTTGGACAATCGTTGTCGTGATTCAGTTGACAAGATGTTGAGCGCATGTGAAAAAGCTCTTCAATTTGAGCAACGTACATGTGTTTGCGTTACATACTTCACGATCTGTGACGTTTTAAATAGTTCCTGCGTGAGGGGAGCTCCGAGTATCTGGACTTTTAAAATCTTATTTCGTTTAACGATTCCTCTTTTAGACGGAACAAGCTAAGACTGCTTGCCTTCCTGAGTTTTAAGCGATTTTTCCCAATAACGCTTTTGTGCAACGTGTGATTGTTCATTATTGTCATGTGTATATGTTGCATTAAGGAAATATAAGCATGGTTGTAGACATAGGAGTAATTAGCCAATGTTTTCGTTGGCTCGCCTTGGTCATGGCCCGGCCTGGCTTTCAGGCAATCCCGTTTCGGATATTTACTACCTGCACCTAGTTGCGGCAAGACTGAAGGGACAAAACACTACTGAATACTCTGTGACAACTGAACAACACCAGGGACACACTCGGTCCAGCTGAACATAGTTGTTGTATGGTTATAAGGCAAGCTGAGAGAGAGTATTTATCCACACCGGCAGAGACACTGACAGTCCTTGTGGGGAAGAATTACACATGTACTGATCGAGATACTGGACACATTCTGTTTTCCACTCAACTGAATTAGCAGACCGCGACAGTCACTACACACTGAATTTTTTTATTAATTCAGTGTCACAAAAAGCACTGTCATCAAATATGAGAAAATCAAGAAGAGACACACCTGTGAGATTTACCGTGGATAAAAACAAATATGGAAAAGGATACACTGTCACAGCAGTTCGTCAGAAAATCCAAAAGCCTGCAGTATTCACATCTCCAAAGGTTTGTATGTCAGTATACCGTTAATAAGGATAAAACCCATGATCAGAATGTATAAAAATAGAATGGAGGTTATTTCTGGAAGATGCATTAAATTGTTCATCTCCACAAATTTGCAAATGTTGATCAATGATAATGACAATATGTTGTTTTGTACCTTGTTTGTTGTGTAGTCTGTCACAGTGGATAAGAGGGTGATGTCAGGACAAACAGCAAGGCTGATGGTTGGGGCATTTGTAGATTAAGGTCACAAGTCAACTGATTAAATGTAAGGTTTTTGTAGGAATTTATAATACTTAACATATCTCTGGCATAAATTTAAAGGGTACTGTCTGGCAAACAGTTATCGATGCGTAACAGTTTTCGCCAATACATCAGTATCACAGTCTCTTGGAAATTTGTCAGGTTCACAAGTGAAGTCTTTCACGTGGTCGGGTATTGTGGCTCCTTTTGATCTTGCAAACGATGAGGGTTCAGTGCATCACCTTGAGAAATTTCTGAGTTTGGCACCTCAGGAATCACTTGTGATTGAAACTGCGCCATATCAGTTTCAGGATGGTCTCTGCATAATATACTGGCCACATAAAGAAACTGTGCACACAGAAAATATAAAGATAGGCAGACAGCGTCTTTATGCATAAATAAAGGTGTGAACATAGCAAGTATTGGACACAATCAAACGCTCATGCAGGTGCCAGGCGACGTGACGTCATTGATGGTGGCCTATGGACTTGCAATGTGTTACTGCACGTGCAGCCTGTGCAGCTGCACACATGTGAAACTCAGAAATTGATGTCACTGTCGAAAGCTTGATCTTTGGTCATTCAAACGTTCGCAAATTCACATGAAAAGCCACATGCACATCATGCCAAGATTAACATGTGCTCAACGTCATGAAGCCATTGGAGGTGGCAGCACATTTCCAATGCCATCGTAATACGATATCTGCATTGGTCAGGCGTTAGGGAAACAGTAATGACGTCGCCGACCACCCACGTTCTGGGCGTCCCCGAGTAACGACGCCAAGACAGGACAGATGGATTCGGGTGACTCATATCAGACACAGGTTCCAGACGGCAGTGACCACGTCCCAAACCATTCCCCAGGCCTTCATTTGGAAAATTTGGTAGCCTCTATGCGTCGTCGATGCACTGCTGTGCTTCACGCGCATGATGGTCATACCCGTTATTGACTTTGTGACTTCGACGTGTGACCCCTGACTCAATTTTGAACTTCTGACGTCATCGTTATGGATATTGTTCATGTTCTTTTGACATGTTGTTGAGGCCCGATACTTCAGCTTATAAAGTGTCTACATCATGTCGTCTTTTCTGTGTTGTATTCCAATTCTGAAGGAATTTTCTGTGTGCACAATTTCTTTATGTGGCTAGTATAGTTTCATGGACCCATTTGACTTATCCCACTGAATCATCTCACAGCAACACTTTGACCTCATCAGTGAAAAATAACATGAAGCATTTTTGCCCTGAAAATGACCTCTAAACAAAGGCAGACTACAAGTTGTGTGACTTCCTTTTTTCTTGGAAGCTGCGGTGGCTGAGAGGGTTGGATGGCTGACTTTGTGTGCTGGCGATTAGGTGCCTGACTCGGAGAGAGTGGGTTTTAATCCTGGATGGGACTCAACCCAACAAAAATACTAGAATCTGTACTTTACTGGGAAAGTGTAATCACAAATAACATTTATTTATTGCACAATATTACAGTAAGAGCCCACCTTCCTGAAAAAGTTGTTGAAGGAATAACAAAAGCGTAACAGTGGATTTAATGGCCAAGAGTGTGGAGGTTGTTGAGGGCTACAACAATTTCGAAATGGAATACTATTAATAAGACCAAAATGGCATCACAAGGCCAGGCCAATTTTAGCTATGTGGCTAGATTAATTAATGTTAAGGACCAAATGACGGAAATTTGCATACCGACCAATGCTATGGGTCTAAATGGGAACGAACTCCACCAGGCCCAAATACATAATTTAACTGGTACTAGATTCCTGAGTGACAATCTGGGTAAAGCCAGGTTCCAACTTGTAAGACGATAACCCAATGAGGTTCCTGCTGGAAAGCAGGTAATTAATACCTAATTAATATCTGTATTGATATGAATTATGTTGAAAGGATGTAGCCCACAAGAACCACGCCACTCCACAACATGGTTTATTCAGGAACTGATAATATACATGTATTTATATACAATATGTTGTGGTTATAGATATGTACAATTTGTCATGCCTGGTACCTACAATGTGTAGCAGGGTAAGGGGTGGTATGAATACACAATGCCATTTATGAAGTGGTCAAATGTAACATATGTTATATTTGGGATTACACTTAGTAAAGTACAGATTCTAGTACTTTTGTTGGGTTGAGTCCCATCTGGGATTCGAACCCACACCCTTAGAGTCAGGCACCTAATCACCAGCACACAAAGTCAGCCGCCTAACCCATTCAGCCACCGCAGCTTCCACAAAAATGGAAGTCGGACAACTTGTAGTCTAGATTGTGGACTTTGTGTACCCCTCTGATAAGTGTAAATTGGCATGGCTCCCATGGCTGAAAGCTATGAAGTGGTCAAGTGTAACATATGTGATATCTGGGATTACACTTTCTTGTGTGCTAGCGATTAGGTTCCTGACTCTGAGTGTGTTGGTTTGAATCCCGGATATGACTCAACCCAACAAAAGTACTGTACTTTACTTAGAATAGAAAGTGTAATCCCAAATATAACATATGTTACATAAGGGGTGGTACTTTTGAATGAAAACCAATGCTGGGGTGTGAGCTGTGACTTGCAGTTGCACCATAAGTTTATTGCTCAAACTATAGATTATGTTTATAAAAAGTCATATCTAGTATTAATAGTTACAGTTACTGATCAAAATTACATATCTGTCACCAAATACTCAGTTGGATGCATATTACTTAAACTGCATCAATTCCAATAAAACATACAAGTAATAAATAAATGCATTTCACAGAAAAGGATTATATATGTTATAATAAGACATGAAGTATATTGGCAGCAAAACATCACAATAATAAACATGGTAGGAAATACATAACTCTCCAAACATATTTGTGGCATAAATATGTGTGAAATATAAACACATTAAAAGGATAAAATACCTACCAAATTATGGTACTCAGGTTATAGTGAGCATAATCTACCTTTACTTCTTGTCAAACAGCGTGTCCATGTATAAGTGATTACACACTCAACCTTCACATCACACAATATTATGACATAAGCAAGAATACTGTTTATAATATAACTATACTTAAATATTAGATCCTACACAATTTGTTTATAATTTTGTTAACTAACCTTAAACAGAGAGTAGTTGTAGAGCAAAAGGAGAATGCAAGACATCCGTCAAAATGTCGAAACTCTTGTGTTAAGGTGCCTTTCTTGAACGACTGTTTGTGGAAGACTAATTAAAATGTGCTGAAGTTAGTGAAGAAGAAAATAGACAGCATTAAACTGACCAATAAGAAATCAAGGAATAGCTTGCCCTCTGAATGAAGAACAAAAGAATACCCGCTCTCTCACAATAGAGCTCAGGTCCAGCTTGGGGCAATCAAGCTGGAGACAAATACCATACTTATTCTAATAGAAACCTTATGAAATAAAAATACAACAACCAAACTGTTTAAAGACAATACCCAATTTACACAAATCAATATAATGTAAAAATATGACACCACCACACAATGTACAACAGAAAAGATGGACAATGGAAATTGACAGATGGAGGCAAACAGGGTGGGAAGGAGAGAAAGGGAAAGAGCATGCGGTACAATTATACGACTGGTGAAAGGCTGATGGGAAGTGATGCCTAAAGTATTGATAACGTAATGCAAGAGGTCTTACGCATGAGTGACGTCATTTCCAAGAAGGTGTGGGTGCAATTCTACTGATGAAAGTAGGTAAAATGTAAACTTAAGGTAGTGTACCTGCAATAAAGACATTTAGTTAGTGGTCCTAAATGCCATTATTTGTAGATGAATCACTTCAAGGATGGGGAGCTCACCTTCACGATCAACATGCGACAGGCGTGTGGTCATTCGACGAAAAGTCCCTTCATTTAAACGAAGTGGAGTACAAGGTAGTCATCCTAGCCATAACACATTCGGCAAAGGACCAGTCTTCTCATAGGATTGGACAACTCGACGGTAGTGCAGTACATCAATCATCTGGGTTCAACAGAGTTGTCGCACCTACCAGGTTGGACGATTCAGTTCTTCCAACTGATAGACTCCCTGGAAATGTCAGCAAGAGCCAGTCACATACTTTCTCCCGATCACCAATCCCCAGATAGACCTGTTTGCGACCAGGTTCAATAACCAGATACCTACGGGGGCAAGACGCACTAGCAGTCTCATGGGAGAATCTAAATGCTTATGCGTTCCCACCACCGCTCTTCTTCAATGAGTACTACAGAAGCAACGATCCACCAAGATTACGCTGCCTTTGGTTGCGCCTTATTGGCTGTCTTGAAGTTGGTTTGTCAATCTGTTAAGTCTCACTGCTCTAGACGCAGTGGCTGTACCCAACCAAGACAATCAGATTGACTACACTGATAACCGCAGACATTACATCTTCGTGTCTGGCACATCTACAAAAATCATTAATCGCCAAAGGGTACTCCCAAAGAGTTGCTGCTGCAATTACTTAGGCTTATCAGATTTCCACTTGATATCTTTAAGATGACAAGTGGAAGACGTATGAAGACTACTGCAGATTGAAGGGCATACTATCTCCTTCCATAGCATCCGCCCCGGTTGTTGCTGAACATCTACAACATCTGTGTATGTCAAGAAAATTGCAGGCTTCTACCCTTACTACTTATTTAGCAGCTATGAACACAGTGATAGCTACGACGACGACAAAAAGATTTCTACTTTGCCTGAACTCCAGTCCTTACTGCGCCATACAAGTTACCTGACCAATCGAGGAAGTTCCGACCCCTGGCCTGGGACCTTTCGGTCATCCTTAGACATCTTGTCTCCGACGATCACGAACCTCTAAAAGTGAAGAACCTTGAGCGCATCACCTTTAAGACCTTCTTCCTTGTAGCACTAGCTACTGCTGCACATATGTCAGAACTCCACATTCTGGATGTTAATCAAGTATGTTTTGAGAGGAAGGGGCACAGCAGAGTTTTTCTGGGTCTCCAATGGGACTTCACAGCAAAAAAATCAACTGCCAAGGCAGCCGGATAGACTCTTCAGTCTACAGCTGTTGTCCACCAACCTCGTTCCTGACGACACTGATGATCCCGCGCTCTGTCCAGTCAGAGTACTGAAAATTTACATTGGTGCCTCACAAGACCGTCGCTGGCTGCTTGTGCGCCTGTTCATCCTGCTCTCAACAGCCTCTTCAGCAGACGTCTCCCGTACTATGTTAGTCTTCTGGATGAGATCCACCATCCTGCAAGCCTACACTTTCACTGGGCGTCCCTCTCCAGCCGTGTTGAACCCTCATGAGACTCGGGCCTTAGCATGAATGAGGGTTCTTCACAGCAACTGTTGGCTGACATCTATTATGGAGGGATGTTTTTGAAGAGAGACGGTCTTTACCTCCAACTACCTGCGCAACCTCTCAGTTACTGATGTAGAAGGACTCCATCAGTTTGGTCCCCTGGTACTGACGCAGCAATTGTCACAGATAGTGACATTCTCCGTCTGCGGAATCGGGTGTTACCTTGTATAGAGTGAATGAGATGTATGGAACTCCATTATTCATCTTCGTTCTACTTCCTTGGGCATAGATCGACCTCACCTGACTTCATGCTAGGGTATTGCAGTACAGTCACCTTTGAGTGACTTCATCATGGACTGAGAGTCCATTCTTGCATAGGTGATTGACACTCATAGTCACTGAACTCTACTCCTCGAGCAATCACGCCATTGGAGTATAAATCCTGATTTTCAAGTCAATTTCGATGCGTTCTGCTCCTAGTTGCCGGACATAGCCTTGACTAAGCTTAAAGGAGAATACGAACGTAAACAAAACGTTTCATAGAGGTAAAGGCAATCTAAAAGTCACCTTCCATGATTAACATTGAACAAAAAGTTTGTAAAATCGCAATAAACATGCAAAACACGTACTCGTGAAAGGAGTGAGGGTCCAGAAGCCAGAAGACGTATAAGAAAATTTGTCGTTAAAGTGAAGCCCTTTTCCCTCTACATTCCCAACAGAGCCCTTTCAAAAGTCCAAATTGACCCGGCTTTCCAAAACAACTAAAATCTGACTGATGTATCCTGAATTTTGTTTCAATCCATCATGATCCATAGACTTCAACAGTGCTGTATGTGCTTTAAAACGTATTAGAACATGTCCTGTCATTGACATTCGCCAATAACCACTTCCAAATAAAATAAGCATCTTTCAGAACCAATATAGGTTAATTAGGGAGCCCCATTGGTTAATTAAGGAAAAAAGTCAAAACACTGTCACTTCCTGCCCAGGAGACTTGTGAAGATCTGGGTTAGAATTGGTCTTCAGCAACCCATGCTTATCGTACGGGATTGGGTGGTCAGACTCACTGACTTTTATCACACATGTCATCATATCCCAATTGCATAGAACAATACTCATGCTGTTGATCACTCGATTATTTATAGACCACTGCCATAAAGCTGGAATGTTGCTGAGTTGCGTTAAACAACAAACAAACAAACAACCAATCCTGACCGGGACGTCACAGGCCAAGAGTCACAAGCTAAGGACACTAAGAAACCCTCTCGCATAGACATACCAAAGAAAACACATAGCATCAAAACAGTGACTTTTCTACAGGACACTCAGTATGTAGTAATTGTTTTCTTTGTATTTCATTGCTACATATATTTAAACATGGGCAAAACCACTTGCGAACAAAGTAGGTGTTTTGTTTTATGTTTTGTAATCCATTTTTAGTATTACCCGTTGGCATGGTCCAGCACAGCTTTTCTTGGTTCCCACAGGTACAGGAGAAACTGGCACCCGTGAAGAGCCACCTCCTCATGGTGGGTGCTGGGTAACGCTAAGAGCTCTTCGACCCCCGTTGTGGACCCGGGGGTATATTTGGTCCACCAACCTGTTGGCCGTGGGTTGCGCCCCTGCGTCGGTGGAGGACGGGAGTCTGGTGGTTGAGGGCACTTGTTCCAGGAACAGCGTTCCTTGCCCAACACACCACTTCGCCCCTTACTTCACCTAGACGGGTGGTTGAATGGGCCCGGTTCAACCAATCGGCTGGTCATGCCAAGCCCTGAGTATTATTGTATTTCACAAAATACTTCAACTTTTTAACTTGTTTTGATAAAAGTCTTGGCCAAATTATCTATCATTTGAATTTCAAGTGCATCTTCATTAATTTTGTAATTTGCCTAGAGTCATATACCCAGAAGGCGGTGGCTCATGGGCCAATCTGGTAGATTCATTAATTCTTTAATTCTTCTGCTGGAGTATATCATCCGGGTATCCCTGGTGCTGCAAGTCGGAGATCCACTTGTTATTAGCACTGTCTTTATGACACTCCGTGGCGGGTGGGGAGCTCGGATGATGAACCATTATATAAACAACCATGGAGTACCAAATCCCCTCAAAAAAATCCAAACGTCCACTAGACAACGACGTTCAAAATCTATCGATTATTGGCCACGTTTCCTGGTGCTGGAAAGTCCTGATAAAAGGCCCCTGAAATTAAACCCATTTGCTGTATCAAAGGGTATACATGGCATTGCGGGAGACGTCAAAAACATTAAACCTTTACGTTCAGGTGCATTGCTAATTGAATGTAGCAAAAGGCAACAAGCATCAAACCTAATGTCAGTTGAATCATTTGTGGGCGTCCCTGTCTCAGTGTCTGCACACAGAACACTGAATACCAGCAAAGGCATAATCAGAGACAGGGAATGCTTGTTGACTGACATGACGGAACTAGATATTGTGTCTGAAATGCAGGACCAAGGAGTTACCTATGTCAAAAGGTTCACTACCCGCAAAAACAATGAGACTATTCCAACTAACACCTATCTTTTTTCATTCTCAACCCCCGAATCCTCCGCAGTCAATAAAAGCAGGATATTATGATGTTGCAGTAGATATCTATATTCCAAATCCGTTAAGGTGTTATAGATTTCAAAAATATGGTCATGGCGCAAGCCAGTACCATGTGGCCATTGTAGCGAGACGTCTCATGAGACGTCTCATGTCGCGGAAGACTGTGACAGTGACTTTAAAAAGTGCACAAACTGTTCAGGTAGCCATTCTTCTTTTTCAAAAGACTGCAAAATGTGGAAAAAACAAATGGACATTAACAGAATTAAATTCACACAAAACATTAGCTTTGCTGATGCAAAAAACCTGGTTGAATCTACATTGCCAAATGATACATATGCATCTGTCGCTAAGACACCCTCAGGCCAAAGGTAAATACATTGCCAGTATCCACATCGTCGGTAACCTGCCAAACAGATTTGACTTGGGTCAAAACGAACAAGCCAGAAATTTTCACACCCGTGCGTTCTACACATACTTCGGAATCATGTATGTCTACACAAACTGTGGAACCACTTCCTTGCACGCCCCATGCCCACTCAGAAGCAACTTATGATCATGATACATCTTCTCAGTCTACCAGTAACGTTCAACCAATCGTCAAAAGCAAAGGCAAACCGAAGCAAGATTCTTTGAAAAAGCAAAGTGGCAGAGCCCCAAAAGGTTCCGATGATAAAGTCAAATTATATAACAAATACGGATCACTTGAGGACATGGACGTGTCCGAAAACGTCCATTCTAGGGCACATAGCTTGTCGCCCTCGAAAACGGTGCGGGGTAGATCCCCAATTAATCCACCTAAAAGATATGTCTATCTAACAATATCGTGCAGTGGAACTGTAGAGGACTCCGGACAAATTTTAATGAAATACAGCAATTAATCCAGGATTTAACACCATCAGCGTTCTGTCTGCAAGAGACGTATCTGAAACAGACAGATAATTTTAACTTACGTCAGTTTGAAACGAATCATTATTTTTCCCCTTCAGGAGATAGAGCCACAGGAGGTTCTACTATCCTTATACGACAGGATGTTATTCACAGCCCTGTTACACTTAACACTAATCTCCAAGCTGTCGCAGTGCAACTTACTCTAGCATTTACATTATGCTCTCTGTATATTCCGCCTTCATCGGCACTTCAGCAGAATGATCTTCAATCACTCTATGATCAACTCCCAAAGCCATGTGTTATTATGGGTGACCTAAACGGTCACAACCCACTCTGGGGCAGTACTAACACTAACACTAAAGGCAAAATACTGGAAGATTTCATTTCCAATAATGACCTGTGCATATTTAATGATGATTCAAGCACCTATCTGCATCCTGCAACTGGCACTTATTCTTCTCTGTATTTGTCTCTTGCAGATTCTAACCTCCTGAATGAATTTGATTGGTCTGTTCATAATGAGTCAATGACCTTTGTGGAAGTAACCACTTCCCAACTATCCTTTCAGAAATAACGCCATCTGATTCTCCATCGTATACAAGATGGAACTTTTCGAAGGCTAACTGGTCTTTATATCAAACTATATGTAAATCGAAACTGCGACCTGAATGTTTCAGTGATATAACTGATCCCATTCAAACTTTTGCTGACGTTTTAAAACAAATAGCTGATGAGTGTATACCAAAGTCCTCTACGACTCTACATGTACGAAAACCATGGTTTAATACAGATTGTAGACAAGCCAGAAAAGCGAGGAAAAAGGCAGAGTGTTATTTCCGCCATCATCCAACTGTCCATAACGTAAATAAATTTAAAATACTCAATGCAAAGGCGCGTTGTACCTTTAAACAAAACAAACGACAATCTTGGAGAAATTATGTCTCAAAACTTAATTCACGCACACCAATGTCTAAGGTATGGAACATGGTTCAAAGAATTAAAGGCAAAGGTTCAAAATCTGCTGTTCACCATCTTAAAGATGGTGATAATTTTATTACTGACAAGTCTAAAATTGCAAATAAACTTGGCGAAACTCTTGCCAATAATTCATCATCGGCTAATTATGTCCCTGAGTTTCAGAGATATCAGAAACAACAGGAAATGACAAAACTTAATTTTGAATCAAATAACGGTGAAGATTATATGAAGTGTTTTCATTACATGAGCTACATACTGCTCTTGAGCAAGCTCATGACACTGCAGCGGGTGATGATAATATGCATTACCAGCTACTGAAACACTTACCTGAACCATGTCTGATGACCCTTTTAGATATATTGACCAAATATGGACATCTGGAGAATTTCCTCCTTCGTGGCGTAATGCCATTGTAGTCCCAATACCAAAACCTGGCAGGGATCATACAGATCCGTCTAATTACAGACCAATATCTCTAACTAGCTGTGTCTGTAAAACCATGGAACGTATGGTGAATAATAGATTAACTTGGTATCTTGAAACCAATAACCTTATAACAAATATTCAATGTGGTTTCAGGAAAAATCGTAGTACCATTGATCATTTGGTACGTTTAGAATCCTTTGTTAAAAATGCTATAGTAAATAAACAACATGCTGTATCAATTTTCTTTGATCTTGAGAAGCTTATGATAATACTCAATGCAAAGGCGTTGTACCTTTAAAACAAAACAAAACGACAATCTTGGAGAAATTATGTCTCAAAACTTAATTCACGCACACCAATGTCTAAGGTATGGAACATGGTTCAAAGAATTAAAGGCAAAGGTTCAAAATCTGCTGTTCACCATCTTAAAGATGGTGATAATTTTATTACTGACAAGTCTAAAATTGCAAATAAACTTGGCGAAACTCTTGCCAATAATTCATCATCGGCAAATTATGTCCCTGAGTTTCAGAGATATCAGAAACAACAGGAAATGACAAAACTTAATTTTGAATCAAATAACGGTGAAGATTATATGAAATGTTTTCATTACATGAGCTACATACTGCTCTTGAGCAAGCTCATGACACTGCAGCGGGTGATGATAATATGCATTACCACCTACTGAAACACTTACCTGAACCATGTCTGATGACCCTTTTAGATATATTGACCAAATATGGACGTCTGGAGAATTTCCTCCTTCGTGGCGTAATGCCATTGTAGTCCCAATACCAAAACCTGGCAGGGATCATACAGATCCGTCTAATTACAGACCAATATCTCTAACTAGCTGTGTCTGTAAAACCATGGAACGTATGGTGAATAATAGATTAACTTGGTATCTTGAAACCAATAACCTTATAACAAATATTCAATGTGGTTTCAGGAAAAATCGTAGTACCATTGATCATTTGGTACATTTAGAATCCTTTGTTAAAAATGCTATAGTAAATAAACAACATGCTGTATCAATTTTCTTTGATCTTGAGAAGCTTATGATACGACCTGGAAGCATGGCATTTTAAAGGATTTACATGATTTTGGTTTGAGAGGCCGTTTGCCTCTTTTCATATCACAGTTTTTAAAAGACAGGCAATTTCAAGTCCGAGTGGGTTCAACCCTATCTGATCATTATAATCAGGATCAGGGTGTCCCACAAGGCAGTATTTTGTCTGTCACACTGTTTAGCATCAAGATCAATAGTTTATCAACGGTTTTAAATGATTCAGTTGATGGATCATTATATGTGGATGATTTCAATATTTCTTGTCGTGGTAAAAAAATGCATACTATTGAACAGCAACTGCAGTTATGTTTAAACAAAATAAATACATGGTGTCTTGAAAACGGCTTTAAATTTTCTAAATCAAAAACTAATTGTATACATTTTTATAGAAAATATAAGCCTCATAAGGACCCATTTAACATTCCTGCCACATATTAAATCCCTTAAAGCTAAATGCCTGAAGGCACTCGACTTGTTAAAGGTTGTCTCCAATTCAAAGTGGGGAGGGGATCTAACTACCCTCCTTCACTTATATAGATCATTGGTGCGATCTAAACTTGATTATGGCTCGATCGTATATGGCGGAGCCTGCAAAAGCAACCTTAAGCTACTTGATTCTGTTCAGACTTTGTCTTGGATCATTTAGAACTTCTCCAGTTGATAGTCTCTACGTCGAGGCAGATGAGCCTTCTCTTACCCAACGCTGTATAAAATTATCTTTACAATATATTACCAAACTATATTCTAACGAATCTAATCCTGCATTTAACTGTGTCTTCAATCCTCTTTATGAGGATTTGCATAACAAAAAGCCTTCTCTTGTTCCGCCTCTTGGACACAGAATTAAACCATTCATTGCTGCTGCCGGCATTGAGCTGGAGAATATTTCTTCTTCTCGTCTTCTTTCTTTTCCTCCTTGGCAACTGATGAGGCCTGAAGTTGACCTAACTCGGACAAATGACAAAGTTTAAAAAATCTGTAACTAATGAATTACAGTATAAACAAGAATATAATCAATTAAAAAATAAATATAATACATACAAATCCTTATTTACAGATGGGTCCAAGGATGGTGGCGCGGTTGCATGAGCCATTGTCATTGGATCCAGAACAATATCTTCTCAACTACCAAATAACAGCTCTATTTTCACAGCATGAGCTAACGCCTTATTAACAGCTCTTAAATATATTAATAAACACCGTAAATATAAACAATACATCATCTTTTCTGATTCTCTTTCGTGTCTTCAGGCTATTAAAAATCTTTCTTGTAAACATCCACTTTTATTAGAAATTATTGAATTGTATAATGAGCTTGCTACTGGCCAATGCGACATCGTCTTTTGTTGGTTACCCAGCCATGTTGGCATTTCTGGGAATACACTGGCTGATCTTACTGCTAAGACAGCACTCAACAAATCTGTGACACCACTTCTTATTCCATACTCTGATTACAAAGCTAGCATTAGAACTTACATCCGGGATCTGATGCATATTGGTTACACCTACTTGGGCTGTCAGTCCAGATTTGAAGAGGTCATCATGCGATGATGTGGCATTGGCAACACAAGATATACTCATGAGTACCTATTAAAAGGTGAGGGTCCTCCGTTTTGTATCCCTTGTGATGAAAGAATCACAGTCGAGCATGTCCTGCTTGACTGTGTTGAATATTCCATCACAAGGGATATCTATTTCCAATCACAAACTATGAAGGATCTTTTTAGTAATATAAGTTCTCATTTAATTATTGCCTTTTTAAAAAAATTAGACTTGGTAACTGATTTGTAAATAGATGCATATTTTATTATTGGTAGTTTAGATTAGTAAGTGAGATTGTTAGTGGCTGTACCCTCAAAGTGGGTTGTAGTAGT